TACAGCTATATCTTGTATTGAACATATGGGTGGAATCAAGTCATGAATTTAATTCAATAGCCAAACAATTGTGGTTATGGTGTATAGACAGAAATGTATGGGTTTCAGTCTCATGTGCCAAGTGAAGAAAACTTAACTGACATCCCATCAAAAAAATTCAATGATAGCATTGAGTGGCAATTGAACAGAAAAATATTTCTGAATATAGTGAAACTATGGGGTAAATCTGAAGTTGATTTATTTGCCACAAAATTGAATTCACAGCTAGAACAATTTGTGTCATGGCAGTTAGATCCAGATGCTATAGGAACTAATGCATTTTCATTTTTCTCGATGAATAAATACATGTATATGTTTCCTCCTTTCAGTGTGATTGGACGTTAGGTACAAAAGATTCAGGCAGACCAACCAGAGGCATTGATGGTGATTCCCCTTTGGCCAACTCAGACTTGGTTCACAGCAGTAATGAGGCTATTAATCCAGAACCCAGTGATTCTCTACATACAGGACTAATTAATGACTCTTCCGGTCAAACTGTAGTGCATCCTTTGGAGGACAAACTACTCCTCATAGCATGCAGGGTATTGGGGACTATATCCAAAGTCAGGGACTTTCAAGAGAAGCGTCCAATATCATCATGTCATCTTGGAGACCCGGGACTCAAAAGCAATATAACATCTATATCAAAAATGGCTATCATACTGTAGTAAAGAAAAAATTAATACAGTTCAAGTTTCTGTAGGCTAAGCGCTAGATTTTTTAACAATGCTATATAACTCTGGTTTGAGTCACAGTTCAATTAATATGACTAGGTCTGCTTTATCTAGTCTTGGAATTATCATTAAAGGTATATCAGTAGGATCTCATCCTTTTCTTACACGTTTCATGAGAGGCGTTTATAATAAACCACCTACACCAAGATATTCACATACATGGATTGTATCTGTAGTGCTACGTTATTTAAAAAAGTTGTCACCATTGTGTGAATTAACTCTTAAACAGCTGACATTGAAACTTGTTATGTTGAATGCGTTGACAATTGCCTGTAGGACACAGGCCTTGTATCTTATGGACTTTGAAAATATCATAAAACATAAGTACAGCTATATTTTGCATTATGCTGAACAATTGAAACAAAATAAACTGGGATTTGCGTAGTCTCAGTACTTAGAAAGTACCTAAAGCGTACAGAGAAAATTTGTGGTGTAAATACTAGACTTTTTATAAGCTATATATGGGGTTATAACCAAAGACAATATGATAATAAATAAACGCCAATGGACTTATTTGCGAGAAACTCCAGAAGATGTATGCATTAGCTAAGTTTAACTCATTCGACTTTTTTCGCCAATACGCTACATGGCGTATGTCGAATCCAGGTCGACAAGCTATAGGGAAGTTTTAACAGACTTAAAAAGATGTCACCCCAGTATTGCAATGCCAATGTTTGGTACTCACATTGACAGGAAGTGATTTAAAATTAATTTGGCGAAGAGAAATGATTGATCACAGGAAGTTGTATCAGGACCTGTTTCGGCCTTTATGGGCTTTTGCCCCCCCCTCTCATAAGATCTCATAAGAGAAGGATAAGAACAAAAATCACCCTGAAAAAAAGATGAAATCAAAAGTAAATTTTCTACAAGATCCTTATTCAAAGTTCGTCCAAACTGCTCAATTTGGAGTAAAAATACTCCTGAAGTAAAAAAAAACAAAACAAAAAAAAACACGAGCTGACAGATGCTTAATGACGATATAAGTCTTATAATAGATCTAATAATCTTCGCGATTTGATTGGCCAGCCTGAGTAAGGGATTCCCCATGGGAATTCCCATTTAGTTTCCCAGCAAATTTCTTAGCGAATATTGCGAAAAAAAGTTGGCGATCAAAAGCAACTGGCTGCCATTGGTTTGGTGAACAAGGGCCACAATGCTGTTATCCTTGGTCAGGCAGGGACTGGGAAGACAGACGTCATTAGAGATATCAAGAAAATCCCAGTAGGGCTACAGATTTGACAGGTACTACTGGCATGGCTTGCCAACAGTATCGTGGTCTCGGTTGTGACACCATCCATAGGTAGGCTACATAGTATATAAACGTATAAACATGATTGTGATATTATATGCACCTCTTTGATTAGGAATAGTCTAGAAATTATCACTCCATCATTTCACCCAATATAAATCCCCCCCCCCCCCGTGGCCAGAAATTATTTAAAAATCATTCAGTTTTTCACCATTCTGAGCACTTTTCGCATGTTTTTGCCAAGACCACAGGGTTTTTACTTTTATATGATTATTGAGTCAAGGCTTATCTTGGAAGCTACATGTAATTCATGTTGTTGATCAAAATGTTTACCCATGTGTAATACAATTAAATTCTTTGCCTTTCATTTATGAAAATACATGAAGGTTTCTTTTACATGTACTTCCAGGTGGAGTGGACTAGATGATCAGAGCGCTACGTTATTATTTACAAACTACAGTCTCTGTTAGAGGACCTAGGAATAGACTGTTTATCCCTTACAAGAAAGGGTGTAATACAGACGTTCATCCTAACACATTGTCTTCATGGATGAAACAACTTATTTCTTGTGCTTTTAAAAATAATTAAATAGCGCGCCAATGAGTTAAGGCAAGTTTAAAATGTAGATGTTTTCATTCCATCAATCAATATTCATCAATATGATCTGTTTCAGGAACTGTGACCAAGAGAATTTCATAAAAGCTGAGCTGTTGCAAATTTGCAAAGCAAATAAATTAGACAAAGAATACAAGGCAGATAAGATTTTGCAAGAGGCTGGCCACACCCTAGTAAGATTGCCCCCCTACCATTATGAACTTAACCCAAGGTAGCTCTTATGGGCCTTTGAAAAAAATTATGGAGCTGACCATAATGATAAATGCAAGGTAACTTTTCTTGAAAGCCCGAGAGGAGGCTGGCAACGTCGTTGATGGATTCACACTTTGGGAACGTTGCTACCAACATGTGAAGACCATTTAGAGCAACTTTTGGGCTAGGGATGGCATTTTTGAAATACCAATCCATAATGTAACAATTAATCTAGCAGGTGATTCCTCCGATGATGAGTCTGATATCAGTGATCTTAAGTCCGATTCTGATTCAGACAATGACTTAGATATGAGTGAAAGGTGTCTCATGTGTCATAAGGGTGAGGGCTCTAATGATGAATGGGTTGGGTGTGATAGGAGGTCTTGTGGAGCCTGGTTTCACAAGCAATGCCTATCCCTCAATCAGCTGGAAGAGGCCCTTGACTCTCTTAGGAATAAAAAAAATTGGACATGCCATTTTTGCCAAACGCAATTGTCAACGTATACTAATGTTTGAATATTTTGTGCATTATTTTACCTACTTTCACTAGACTGGGTTTACCTTCCCAAAGTCAAACACAGTTATTTGAAGTTAAATGCTCTTTCCTGTATGTTAACAATATATTATTATTATTAGTAGAAGCACAGCGTATTTGAGATGATATGAGTAGTATATCTTATTAAACGTGTATTGTAAGGTTAAGCCTAGTAATTGTAATTGTAAGGTAATTTTATTTACCTATTTGTTTGTTAATTTCACCAATAAAACAGTAAATAAAAACATGAATATTATGGGATATAGTTTGCCAGGAAATTCAAAAAATGGCAAATCAAAAGAAATCATTTGTTTCGTCTTTCTTTAGCCAACTTGAAAATGACAAGGAGAAAGTAAAATTTTCTTTATGTTCTACGATTTTGAAACTGAATGGGGGGACCACTTTTATGAGTTCGCATTTGAATGCAGTATATAATAAAAAGATGGCAAATCAAAGTGGGGATTCTCAATCAAAATCAAAAATTGTTCAAATAAAATAAATTATCTGTGACTTAATTGCTTTATTGCAAATGACATGTTTTCTTTGACCTTGTTATCATTTGGAAATTGAATACATGTCTGTTTAGAAGTTTGAACATGGTGCTCAGAATTATCTATGGGAACCTGGGTTGGATGCCTCTGTGGCGTGATACGTTGACATAATCGTTATTGTAAAATAAAATTTTAACTGCGATCGCTAGTGATTTCTCTTATTTTGATTAAAAATCTGAAAAACATTGTTTCTTATTGTGTCATGTTATAATAAAAGTCCTATTTATTCGACTTTGTATTTAGTAAATACTACATGTAGGTATATGTCAATATTTACTACTCTCATCAATGGATGAGTATATCAAGTTGTATGTATAAAATATTTTATGTTGTTGTATTGCATTCCAGGTATTGACTTTGTGCCTGAGATGTTGAAGGGCGAGCTTCTTCAAATTGTCAGGCATATTAAATCCCCCAAAGAATACGTAGCAGACAGGATGTTGCAGGAGGCCGGGCATCAGGTCATACGTCTCCCCCCTTACCACTGCAACTTTAATGCCATAGAATCGATTTGGGCTTATCAAAAACGCTATGTGGCAGATAATAACAGTGCAAATAACATGGCTAAGATGTGACAGCTACTTGAAGAATCCAGGCAAAATGTTCCGGAGGGGCTATGGAAAAGCTCCTGTGATCACGTCAGCAAAGAGGAGAGAATATATTGGCAGAGGGACGGACTGATAGAGGTGAGAATAAACCCGATTGAATCAATATGGATGAATCAGAATCACACTCTGAATCTGACGAATCTGAAGTATTTTCTGAGGACGATGAGGTGCTTTTTATTAAACTCGTGTCCATAATAAACAACGAACGGGATTGTTGCGGCATATGTTCCCGAGCAACGGGACATAATGATGAATGGGTTGGCTGCGACAAGCCAAAATGCCAGCTTTGGTATCATTCCAACTGTTTGACATTCACTGATTTGTCTCTTGCTAAAGAAAGCATTTCAAAGCGGTCTAAATGGTCTTGCCCAATGTGCCAGGCACAGGAAAGTGTATACACAAAAAACAAAGACATAGTATAGATGTTACTTGTCAAATTACTCAGATGCGAGTAGATAGTTACCAGTTCCGCCACCAGATGGTTATCTACACTAGATTTGCACATGTCAGAGCTCGAAGAGGAACGTCTGATTAAGCTCCACAGAGACTACATCCAGGCTCTAATGAAAAACATTGAAGAAAGATTCAAGGAGATTCCACTGCTAGAGCATTTTTCGATATTTAACCCGTTGCAAATACCTGACAGAGCCTCCACAGAATTCCAGGTAAAATCTGACATTAAATTTGTGGGTCACAGTGAGCATATGATATTGACAAGGAGTCTGTCATCCCTCTATCCGCCCATCCATCAACATTGGCCCCAAAACTGCTATTCATATTATGAGCACAGGACCACAGGTCCTTTATTTTTATTAGATTTACTGGTAAATATTTATGAACTTTATACTAAATGCATGTACACAGCAATCTTATCGTGTACTTCAAATCATTTCTTTATTTTATATTTAGGATTATGGTTCAACTGAGATTCTTGCTCTAAGAACCAAGTTCCTTAGCGAATCAGACAGCCAAGAGGTATTGGCAGAGTATGGAAAGTTTAAATATGACCTCATTAAATGGAAGGCACATCTCCAATCATTAAAAGAATCTGGTAAGTTTGGTCTTTTTAATTTCACTGGGTAATAATTTAGTTATTATGCCACTGGGTAATCAATCCCAATAATCCATTGAATGTAACATTGATTCTTAATAAAATACCTTAATTGAGAATCCTTAAATTATCTAAATATGCATCTGACCACATACCAATTCTTAAAAAAAAGATACATGATGTAATCTTTATTTAACAGGCACTGATCCACTTGCAGCAAAACAGGAGAGGAATGGGCATGTCTAAGAATACAGCAACATCAGTTAACTATTGTATTTCCCATGCTCTCGGCCATAGCAGAATGTTTGTTGGTGATTCCTGTGAGCAATGCCTGGCCAGAGAGGGGCTTCAGTAAAATGAAGCTGATTAAGTCCAGATTAAGAAGTCAACTCACTAGCAGCATGTTGAACAGCCTACTTATGATCTCCATCAATGGCCCTCCTGCTACAGATTCCCTTTTCGATTTTCGATTTCGAGCTTTTCGATTTAATGAAACCTAGGAGGTATGATTCTGCGAGAAGAATCGCTATGATCCCCTCTGATGTTGAGAAGGAGCAGCTTGATAGAGAGGAACTAAAAAAGTGTGCTGAAAACCTTGGGATTGACACTGATGAATCTGATTGTGATGATGGTGATGATGATGATGACGACAGTGACAGTGTAGACCCAAATGATTTTATCTAATTTCCAGGACATAGTTGATGCTCAAAATCAAAATGATAGATAAACTATAAACATTCTTGTATTACCTTAGCCCGGGTTTTGTAATCTTGTTTGGCAATGTTTCTTTCCAGTTTGAAATCACTTGGATTAAACAGCTGTTGAGAAAGATATTATATTCATTTCACTAAATGATTAGTGGTTGATTTTTATCAATTAAAATATTTAAACCCTGGAAAATGATGCCTCTTACACATTAATATTACTACCACAGGGATCACTATCTCTCTGCCTGAATTCTCATATTGTTTTCTTCATCATGCACTATGTGGCATCTTTTTATATTATACTTGTTAACTGATTTTTATGGCGTATGTACCAAATACAGTACCTTGGTACTTCTCATCTTGTTCTTCACCAGTATGAAGTATGCTTCTGTTAAATTCTCATTGTATTACCATACTGCCAAATACAATACCTTGCTACTTGATCTGCTCTTGGTTTTTCATTTGTGTGATATACATTCCACTTAAGGTGCCATGGAAGTTAACAGGAAATGACGAAACAGGAAGTGACAATTTTTTTTGCATTTTTAGACATTTTTTGAGCAAAGATAACAGAGTTCTGGTTTGACCTCCAGTCAATTTAACTATTTCCACATATCATTCACATGACCAGGATCACAATGTGCATGGTCAGAATGACCCTAAACATGATGAAATAACCTTTTTAGCCCTTTGAAAGTGTGACTGAAAAAAAAGCTAAAGTAGGAAGGAAGGGAAGGTCACTGAACAGAATCTTTTGAATTTTCCAGAAAATGTGCCCAATATAATGCTCTAACTGACACAATCTTTGAAATTTTAGAAAATTGTCTGAAACAAAAATGGCGGTCATAAAAAGGAAAATAGATCGCTTTTCAAATCAGTTTTTTCATTTTTTTTTCTTTTTTTATGAATGATATCAAATTTTCAAAGATTGTATCATTTAGAGCAATATATTGGGCACATTTTCTAAAAAATTCAAAAGATTCTGTTCAGTGACCTTTCCTACCTCCGTCATTTAGCTATTTTTCAGTCACATTTTCAGAGGGCTGAAAAGGTTATAGCTTCATCTTTAGGGTCATTCTGGCCATGAACATTGTGGACCTGTAAATGGTATTTGGAACTAGTTGAATTGACTGGAGGTCAAAACAGAACTCTGTTATCTTTGTTCAAAAAATGTCTAAAAATGCAAAAAAAATTGTCACTTCCTGTTTTGTCATTTCCTGTTAACTTCCATAGCACCTTAATTGTTGTACTATTATACAACTGGCAGTACCATGTTTCTTTACAATAAGTGCACACATGCTAATTTCAATGAATATCAAAAGGATGAAATGAATGGATCATCTATACATTTTGGGATACATTTTTGGAGTAGGATCAGTGGTCCTAATTATTGCACGGTCCTAATTATCGCACGATTGTCCTAAATAGCTAAAATATGCACCCACCATCTTTTAAACCAGTGTTACGAAAAACAGTTCAACACCATTACTCCCAATCTTCATGATTTATTCATATATTTTGAAATATCTCTTCATTTTTTAAGAATTGTTAACTTCCGCCATTGTCATAAATGCTTTTGCGCAAGAAGTGAAATTCGTCTGACAAATTTTGACCCCCTCCAAATAAAGACAGAAAAGTAAGTGTATAATGTATATTTTGTTAATATTTTACACTAAAACTGATAGAAAAATGATTACAGCATATGTATGCTGTGTTCTCCCTGAATGGAAAATGCGTGGCGCTCGCACCACGCACATTGTGGCTGCCCCACGCTGATTTATTGCGCGCCACACATTTATTAACAGCGCCACGCATTAGACTTTGACAGGAAAATTTCCCAAAGTGAAAATAGAAATTGAAAAAAATTTTAATCACATCAAAATCTCAGCCCGTTTTGCTTGAAAACGATACAAAATGCTCTATGTAGATAAAGAAATGTCTGTACTTACCTTTCTTGCACTAAAGAATCTTCAATTTACCTTCTATTTTGATAAAAAACAGTTTGATTTGCACAGAAATGAAACATGTTTTTTCTAGGTCAGGACTCACAGCCTCCGATTTTGAAGAGTACACTGAACGAAAATGAACATGTGTGCACATTTTCCCGGGAATTTCGGACTCAATAATTATAGTTGAATTATATTGAAGAAATATGTGGCCACATACTGAAAATTATTTTGTATATTGAACTTTATATTATATTATGGAAATAAATATTAAATTGAACATTGAATTAAAACAAACCTCTGAGCATTTATATTGCAACATGGCCTATTGTGATTGTCATTAAGGACAGGGTGCATGTTGGGAAATTTTCTGCATTCCTCAATTGAGTCAAAGAAAAGCCTTGTGAGAAGGTTTGTTTTGTAAAATGTATAAAAAATGAGAAAATTCAGTGAAAAAAATTTCTGAAATTTTTCTGATTTTTTTCACTGAATTTTCTTGTTTTCTATACACTTTATCAAAACATTCTTCTCACAAGTCTTTTCTAGGCACATAAGTGCACTCTTTGTGCAAAACTGGAAGATATAGACAATGTGGGGAAGGAGTGATTCTTGTTTGAAAAATAACATGTGACTCAATTGAGGAATGCAGAAAATTTCCCATCATGCACCCTGACCTTAAAGTAGATGATTATACAGTGCTAAATTTCATTTGTTTTGATGTTATGTAATTAGTCTACATAACATCAAAACAAATGTTTAGCATATTTATAACAATTGGCTATTGATGCAAATGATTGTGATTAAGTAACGCCGATTTTTTTTAAGCACGTTTTTGTAAACTTATCACCACCCTAATAATTTTGCCACCACCCATCAATTTTTATTCAAACTTTTTCACCACTCACTTTTGAAAAATTAGGGAGAACACTGGTATGTATCTGTTATAAACAGAGAAATGTATACAGTATCGTGAAATGACATCTGAAACATAACTTTGCGATAATTAGGACGACATTGCGATAATTAGGACCACCGCACATGCGAGTCTAAGGGGTCTTAAAGTGTTAGCGTTCGGAGATTGAGAAATGTCAAACACTACTTAGATTTTAGAGGAAAGGTTGATCTTTCGTCTCATATTCTCAAAGTAAGTTGAAGTTATCATATTTGAAATCGTCAGTAGTTTCCCTGAGTACCTGTGCGATGATAGGACGACTTCCCTTAGATCTAAGTGCTTACAAAAACGCGAGCGAAGCAAGCGGCGAATATTTGTGCTAAGAATGTACAATGCGATCGAAGCGAGCGGCGAATATTTTAAGAAATACTTTCGCCTGTTGTTTTGGGCAAAATGACTGTTGTTCTGAATCCTAGTGAAACCCCTGCAATGGGATTTTCAATATATTCAACTGCAATCGAATCTTGAATCTTTTTAAGGCGACGCTATATTAAATAAAAAGTACAAAAAATGACTGCCATATTTTTTTGATAAAGACACATGTTTTTAAAATCTGTTTACCTTGTATATGAATTGTGTATCTTGACTAATGAAACATGTCAAAGTTAACATCACACATAAACGCATTTTTCCAAACTATGAATTGGAGGTGCATGGATCCCCAAAGCTAGCATGAAGAGTGCGAAGTGAGGCTAATTTTTGAAAGTTTCAAGGAGTAGCCTTGCAACAGTCACACATTTGCAAGAGTCTAAAATTTCCACAAATCATCTTACCTTACCAAGGAACAACGAAGGAGCACGAAAATGTGTACTTCTTGCATTGTTAGAGTATAATAAAGCTCAAACCATTGTGAATTCTAAATATTTCATGTCCACCATTTTGTTTCCTGGAACTATTTTTTAGTCCAGAGTTATCTTCATTCATGTTTCCATTGTTTATCATTCATAAAGCCTCTATCATGTATCTATCATGATAATTACAGTGTAATAGATAAAACATACAAGTGATAATCCATGCCACTTGGTGTAGTCACAAAACTTGCATGAGGATTAATCAGTAAGTCTAGAAGTAGTTCCGGCAAACAAAATGTGGACATGAAATATTTGGAATTTACAATGGTTCGAGGTTTATTATACTCTAACAATGCAAGAAGTGCACATTTTCATGCTCCTTCGTTGTTCCTGGGAAAGGTAAGATGATTTGTGGAAATTTTAGACTCTTGCAAATGTGTGACTGTTGCAAGGCTACTCCTTGAAACTTTCAAAAATTAGCCTCACTTCGCACTCTTCATGCTAGCTTTGGGGATCCATGCACCTCCAATTCATAGTTTGGAAAAATGTGTTTATGTGTGATGTAACTTTGACATGTTTCATTAGTCAAGATACACAATTCATATACAAGGTAAACAGATTTTAAAAACATGTGTCTTTATCAAAAAAATATGGCAGTCATTTTTTTCGAGGTCTCCTCTGCCGAAGGCAGCGCAAAGTAGGAGTGTAGCGACTACTTTGCGGGAGACCTCGAACCATTGATCACGTTTGCTCCTGTAATTATTCACTTCTTCACCTCTTTAAAATGAGATTTCAATCAGTTGATCAAATCTTCGGACTTT